GCATCTGACTCTTGATTTTGGCTCTGGTCATGATCTCGTGGTTTGTGGGCTCGAGCCCCATGTTGGGCTCTGTGCTGACTGAGTGGCTCCTGCTTGGTATTCTCTTTCTCCCTCTCTCTCCCCTTCCCTGCTCTCTCTCATTCTCTCTCAAAATAAATGAATAAACATTGAAAAAAATATATTAAAAAATAGGGGCACCTGGGTAGCTCAGTCGGTTGAGCATCTGACTCTTGATTTTGGCTCGGGTCATGATCTCATGGTTTGTGGGATCGAGCCCCATGTCTGGCTCTGTGCTGGCAGCCTGGAGCCGACTTGGGAATCTCTCTCTCTCGGCCCCTCTCCAGCTCGTATTTGTGCGTGCCCTCTCTCTCAAAGTAAATAAAACAAACTTTTAAAAAATAGTGTATGTTACTGGGAAAGTAGGTGACTAAGGGAAGGGCTTGATGATGGAGGATGTACATGAATTTTTTTCATTATCAGCAAATTTCTACTATTCAGAGAAAAATGGCTATATTGTGTCTATATTTTATTTTTTTAAGTAAAATACTTAATATATAACATTTATGGCAATTTATTTTTTCTCCTGCAGCCGTCTTTGCAGCGTGTTATTTTGATTCAGGCACATGGGATTATTCTAAACAAGGAGAGCTATCGGAAAGTTCTTAGACGTAAGTTATAATTAGCCCTTGCTTATTTCAAAACTGGCCCTTTCCATGCATGGTATAAATAATTGCAAAACTAATTAATCATGCTTAACCCTTGTTTTCTAAGGTCGCAGCAGCACCGGGATAATTGAGGGTTGTATATGAGTTACCATTAAGGAGAGACTTGGCCAAACCTCCAACGTAGCTTTTTCTGACTTCTAGTTTCCTTCTTTTGCTGCTTTTAATTTTTAGGGATTGCACACAGTATGGCAGGGACTGTAGGATTTGGGGAATCGATCAAGCTGAAGACTTTTACTAAGTCCCTGCTTAACACCACCATAAACATCCCCCCTGTGTGTCACTTCTTTGTGGCCGCTTAAAAGATCTGTGACCCCCAGCCCCGCTCAGCTGGCCTCCCACCTCTGGTAAAAAGTGGTCTTTTGCTGAAGGAGCGTTTCTTCAGCTCTTCCCAGCTCCTCCTCCCCACAGGAGGGTAGAAGAGAGGATCTCTAAGCATCCTTTCAGCTCCATGATGGTACAGTTCTATGTAGAAAATATATGTGAGAAATGTTGGAAATCTGACCTTTTCACACCTTTTTTTTTTAACTGATGGGTTTTGCTTCTTTTTAAGTTTTTAAAAGTTTTTATTTATTTATGTTTGAGAGAGAGAGACAGAGTAGGGGAGGGGCAGAGAGAGAGGGACAGAGAGAGAATCCCAAGCGGGCTCTGCAGGCGGGACTCGAACTCAGGAACCGTGAGACCCACGACCGGAGCCGAAACCAGGAGTCAGCTGCTTAACCTACTGAGCCACCCAGGCGCCCCAGTGATGGGTTTTTAGAAAGAGCTTTACTAAAGAGAAGGAGCAAAATATGATTCATTTCAGTCCCATAGCCAGGAGTGAGGTAGGAGGTTTGGAGATGAGTGTAAGGAAGGTGGATTCAACAGAAAGAGAACGGGGATGGTCTGAGAGCGAGGGGCCGTGCTTGAAACTGGCTTCACGGTTTCTTCTGGAGAATGGAAATGCAAGGGAGCCGCGAGCCCACCGAGCACACGCTCCTGACTTGCTGAACAGAGGAAAAGGAAAAAGAGTAAGAGAGAAGGAAGGAGTAAGGTGCCAGGAGAGATGAGGCAAGGCCGCGGGAAAGGCAGGAAATAGAAATTTGGGACTCTCTTACTTAAAGCAGGACATTTCCAAGAAGTGCTAAAGACTATCTCTTGTACTGATAGGACTTAGTTCTTTTATTTTTTAAAGATTTTTTAAATGTTTTTTATTTGTTTAGAGAGAGAGAGTGGGGGAGCGGCAGAGAGAGGGAGGGAGAGAATCCCAAGCAGGCTCCGTGCTGTCAGCACAGAGCCCAATGGGTGGCTCAGTCTCACAAACCTTGAGACCATGATCTGACCAAGAGTCTGACACTTAACTGACTGAGCCACCCAGCACCCCAGGACTTCATTATTTTAATTATTAGCTTGGGCAAGTTTCCACTGGTAAATTTTTTTATTTTTTATTTTTTGGCTAAAGTTCTTCTCTGACTCATGGTCCGTATATATATATATATATATTTTTTTTAACGTTTATTTACTTTTGAGACAGAGACAGAGCATGAATGGGGAAGGGTCAGAGAGAGAAGGAGACACAGAATCCGAAACAGGCTCCGGGCTCTGAGCTGTCAGCACAGAGCCCGACGCGGGGCTCGAACCCACGGACCGCGAGATCATGACCTGAGCCGAAGTCGGATGCTCAACCGACTGAGCCACCCAGGCGCCCCTCATGGTCCATATTTTTATCACTTATTCTATACTGGCTTTATGTGTGAAGCCCCCATTAATGCAGTAGGATATTATATATTGAATGAGCTTCAAATATTCTCCAGATTCCTACTCTGTAATTAAGTGTGGTTGAGAAAGGAACATCGATAGTCATGCAGATAACTTGTTCTTAAGATGTCATTATCATTGGTTGTCACTGGCAGTTAGTCATTTTAATTAGATATTAATATTCAGAGCTTTTAAAGTATTACAAATCTCTAGTCTTCGAAATGAGACAGGGAATAGAGCTTAGATTGGTTTTGCCTAGTGAGGCATTGGTTGAATTTAAACTGAAAGCCATACAATTTCAACTTTTACTGTTTTCTAGGCTACTAACAGCTCAGAATAACTCTAAAATCATTGTACAGTATGAAGCCAAATTAGCCAGTAAAATTTTAATTTCAGTCTCAGATGCTGGCAAATGCTGATGAACATGATCTGAACAAAGCAGCCATAAAAAAAAAATTAGGAGATAGATGAGGAAATTTGAATACTGTCTAGACAATTGTCATTAAGGAATTATTGTTAATTTTTTGGTAAGACAATGGTATTGGGGGCATATATATTTTTAAAAATAATCTCTATGCCTGATGTGGGGCTCAAACTCACAACCCCAAGATGAAGAGTATCATGCTCTGGGTGCCTGCGTGGCTGAGTTGGTTGAGGGTCCGACTTTTGATTTGGGCTCAGGTCATGATCTCATGGTTTGTGGGGGCCTGCCCCAAGTCGGGCTTTGGGCTGACATCGCAGAGTCAGCTTGGGATTCTCTCCCTCTCTCTCTCTCTCTCTGCCCTGCCCCCCCGCCCCCAGCTTGTGCACACATGTGCTCTCTCTCTGTCTCTCTCTCTCTCAAAATAATGGTTAAAAATTTTTTTTGAAAGAAAAACTGTAAAGAGTTAGGATTTTTGTGGGTTAGAAAAGCCTAGTCTTCTAAATTTACACATACAAGTTAAAGTTACTACTCAAATTTTAAACTATTTACTACGAAAAACAGTTCAAACATATACAAAAGTGGATAGAGCAGGTAGTGTAAAGAACGCCCACATAAGTAGTGTTCAGATTCAACAATTATCATTACATGGCCATCTTATTTCATTTTATATTCTTATCCATTCCCCTTCCCATGTATCTAAAAGATGACTTTCAAAATACATGCACGCAGGGACACCTTATGGCTCTGTCAGAGGAGCCTATCACTTTTTTTTTTTAACGTTTATTTTGAGGCCGAGAGAGAGCCTGACGTGGGGCTCGAACTCAGGAACCGTGAGATCATGACCTGAGCGGAAATCAAGAGCTTAACCAACCGAGCCTCCCAGGGGCCCCCAGAGTTTGTCTTTTATTTATTTTTTTTTTTAATTTTTTTTTTCAACGTTTATTTATTTTTGGGACAGAGAGAGACAGAGCATGAACGGGGGAGGGGCAGAGAGAGAGGGAGACACAGAATCGGAAACAGGCTCCAGGCTCTGAGCCATCAGCCCAGAGCCCGACGCGGGGCTCGAACTCACGGACCGCGAGATCGTGACCTGGCTGAAGTCGGACACTTAACCGACTGCGCCACCCAGGCGCCCCCGGAGTTTGTCTTTTAAAAAAGGGTAATGCCAGTAGGAAATCAAGTCTGTAGCTGCCACGGCGTTTTTTACCTATTTATTTTTATGTATTTTCTTTTGGTTACTGTGACCTGATTTTGTTGAATTCAACATTTTCCTTTAAATTGAAGAGTCATTGACATACAGCATTGTATTAGTGTCGGCTGTACAACATATTGCTCCCATATTTACATCCATTAGGAAATGGCCACCCCAATAAGACAGTGGTATTAGAACTTGTATGTATGTATGTATGTATGTATGTATTTTTCTGTCAGATTTTTCGTTTTTATTTTTTTTTAATTAACTGATTGCTTTATTTTTTAATTTCCCTCCAAGTTAGTTAGCATCTAGTGCAACAATGATTTCAGGGGTAGATTCCTTAATGCCCCTTCCCCATTTAGCCCATCGCCCCTCCCACAGCCCCTCCAGGAACCCTCTGTTTGTTCTCCATGTTTGTGAGTCTCTTCTGTTTGGTCCCCCTCCCTGCTTTTATATTCTTTTTGCTTCCCTTCCCTTCTGTTCATCTGTTTTGTCTCTTAAGGTCCTCCTATGAGTGAAGTCGCATGATATTTGTCTTTCTCTGACGGACTAATTTCGCTTAGCATAACACCCTCCAGTTCCATCCACGTAGTTTGCAATACCTGTCTTAGATTGGCGTGTGCCTGTATGCTCCTGGTTCCCATTCCAGTGAGCAGATCCAAGTCAGATACATCGAAAGAGCCTCATGCCTCTAAAATGCAATAATAATTACAACAAAAGCATTTGTTACATCATGCGTTTATTTATCATTTTTTAAATCACTTGCTTCCCAGATGGATAGGAGTAATCTCAATGACGATTGCAAATAGATTTCCCACTATCAGTGTTTTAGAAGACAGTGAGCATGGAAGAGTTGGTGTAAGTTTGCTTCTTCACAGGTGGTTTTTCTTTTCACCGAGTCCTTAATTATCTTGGATGCGTTCAGGGGTGGCCTCGTGTTTCATGTTGCAAATAATGGTTACCTCCCTATCACTGTCATTACTGTCATATGTCGTAGTATCACTGTAGCTCACGTTGCCACGGAATACGTGGTCTCTGTAATCTGCCTTGAGAAAGGACTGGGCGCAAGGCTTCGCTTCACTTGGACAAAGTGGGTTTTGAGCATTTCTATTCTGTGCCTCAGAAATATTACTGATCAAAGACTCAGAACTTTGGCAGACGAGACATCTTTCCTTATAGCGCCGGCAAGGCTTGATTAACTGAGGCCTCGATAACATGTCTGCGCTACGGGCACAAACTGACCCTTTGAGTTTACGATGTCTAGGGGACTTGGTTGGTTTCTGCACACTGGATCGCTTGGGTGGCGAGATGCGACTTTGCGGGTGGGGTGGACAAAGTGGCTTGGTTGGCCTGACTGCGTATTGCAGACCGGCCGGCCGGGGTGGCCTCGCTGCCTTATTTCGGTAGGATGAAGTGGCCTGACCAACTAGCTTATGGGCATGAGCTGGCTTATATGGCTTTCCCAGATTGAGTGTTCGATATGGCTTCTCCAGGTGCGATGAGTTGAATTTTTTTACTGAGCACGGTGGACTTTTCTTCCTTTGACTTGACGGATTGTTGAACTTTTGTGTACTAGAGGACACACACAGCTCTTCTAGACTCGAGGGCCCGACGGACTTTTTTGTGCTGGATGATATGGAGGACTTTTCCGGACATGAGACACTAGATAACTTGTCTATACCAGACAGCAGGGATTGGTTTTCTAGACTGCATGGGCTGGCTGTCTTGGATTCGCTGAATGACATTTTGGATGGTGGTGTGGACAACTTGGCTGGCACACCTTTCTTGAGCCTGGAAACATAGAAAACTTAGAATACGACAATTTAAAACAGAAGTACTATCGCTATCACAAGACATAGGCTACTATGTCAACTTAGACTTTGGTCTTTTTTTTTTTTTTTTGCTTCTAGTAGGAAAAGCAAACACAGGAAGAATTGGAGTGTGGTGAAAGCCGCGACTCAGGTTACAGATATGACTTCATGCTGAATGCTTTTTATTTCTGTTAAGAGTATTTCACTCTTTCATCCACATTACTTCACCACGTATCCTGCATAGGGAAAGACACAGAGCGGTTTCCAGTCTACCGTGGAGAAGGACAGAGGGAATTTCACTTATTCTGAGAATTAAACTTGAAAACATAAAAGGCCGCAAGTTGAGCAGCAACTTCTACACAGCTGTCACAACGTGTCATAAGAAACAAATAAACTCTTTAGACCGGAGTCATTCTTTCCTGTCATCTCTACGCCATCGTGTTACCTATCCACGCAGATTTACATTCACGACATCCCTCGAACACTACAGGGGTAGAGCACTGGCTATATGTTCATCCTCAGTCCTGGTATTGGGAGATTTTTAGGGAACTACTATATCAGGGTCAGCCTGACCCTCCTATATGAAAGGCAGGGACTGAGATTATGAGAACAACAATGGTGAATGATGTTTCATGCCATTAGGTCTTAAAATGGTGACCGTCCAAGAGGTTTCATTGTTTTGGGAATGCAAAGACCCCACTCCCTGTCACTCCGCTTCTTCATTCTCCCTGTCTTGGTCAGATAGTCAGGCCCTCTTTTCCTAGACTCAGTTTACAATGAAATGAATAGCCTGGGGCTCGGCTGAACCCTCGATGGGACATAGCTTTACAACAGGCTAAAATTGCTAATGTACTTGAGAATATTTCAGAGCTGATATTATTGAAGTGGAGTATCCACCCACGAGATGAGCTCTTTAGAAGTCTGGGGTTCACGGGACGTAACCACAGCACCCACGACGCCTCCGCGATGCGTACACACACATATTCTCAGTTTAAAGGTGCAAAACTTACGTTTCTGCCTTGGGCGCGTCGTCGCTCAGACAGTTGTAATGGATGAAACAAAAACAGGTGAATACGAAAGCTATAATCATAATACCAATTGTGATAACCAGTAGACGTCTCCTGAAGCTGTCCAGTTTGGCGTCCATTGATTCGACGTGTTTGGGTCCTGTCAAAGAGATTATATCCCCAGAAAATGTGTTAGATAATCCAGTTTTCTTCCATTTGATAGCGGTTTGCCACTCAGGGTCAAAATCACACCTTTTCCGCGGTGATTTTGTTAAAGCGTGGCAAGCGTTCCCCTGTCAGTTTCCTCCCTCTACCCCATCCCCAGCCACAGTCTAGAAGCCAAATCTGGGAGGCATCTCTGGCTCATCAGTACATTCCCTGGGTTATCCCTGCATCGTGGCTTGCTCACCCCATTCATAACCTAGGTTTTTGAGTGTGTTTATGTCTTGCACGTATGAATGTACTTGAGTGTTAATGCTTGTGTGTGAATGGGTATGGTGGAGAAGGGTCGGGACAAGAAAAACTCTTGTTGAAGCCTGCTATGTGTTAAGTGCCATGCCAGACCGAGGGCAGATTGAGGGCAGGTTGAGGGCAGAGGTTGGTGGATTGGGTGGGGAAGGGGAGTGAAGGGGGACAATATGTCTGTACTCTTTCTGCTTCTGTGTTCCTTGGGTTTTTCACACAGAACTAAAACCCTCAGGTATTTTCCTGGTAACACCCAACAGACAGCAGATTTCTTAAACACGGCTAGCTTGTCTAAGTGCTCGAGTGTATAACATAATAGAGCATAATTTCTAAATTTTCAGGTTAGGCACTTACCTGTGGTAGGAGATCCATAACTTTGGTTCGTATCTAAACAACTATTTGTCCAAATAACCAAAAGCAGGACATAAATAAAAAGATTCATGTCCAGGGCTTTGTTCAAATGTTTCTTCTACCAAGGAAACTCCTGTATTTGAGATGGCTCAGCCTGCTGTAGGAGTTTATGACATCATCACCATTTGTGACATGTTCTGACAACATACTCTCACCATGGAGAAGGATAAGCTCATGTGTATAAATATTATCAAATGATTTTTAACAACTTGTTTCTCCTTCCCATTAAATAGTCTATCAAACTCAAATCAAAAAGGTTGGGGCATTATTAAAAACACAGAGGGAGGGGGGCGCCTGGGTGGCTCAGTCGGTTGAGCGGCCGACTTCGGCCCAGGTCATGATCTCACGGTCAGTGAGTTCAAGCCCCGCGTCGGGGTCTGTGCTGACAGCTCAGAGCCCGGAGCCTGTTTCAGATTCTGTGTCTCCCTCTCTCTGACCCTCCCCCGTTCATGCTCTGTCTCTCTCTGTCTCAAAAATAAATAAACGTTAAAAAAAACACACACAGAGGGAGGTATTTAGAGAAGAGAGTGAAAAGGGGATTTTGCCTTAGATATTGAAGAACTATTCTGACTTCTTAAATGGTAAGGAGGCCATTTGCAGCCTTGCCACAGTAGTTCTTAAAGTGTTATAGATGAGTTAAATCATCCTGGGCATAAGTCTATAGAATCGTCTTCTTAATAAAAAATGAAGATACCACCAAGCGGTAGTAATGAAACTAGTGTGGTACTGGCATGAAAAGAGACACACAGATCAGTGGACTAGAGCAGAAAACCCAGTGGTAACCCCCCCAATTAGATGGTCAATTAATCTTTGACAAGGAGGAATGGACAGACAATGGGTAAAGGACAGTCTCTTCAACAAATGGTGTGGGAGAACTGGACAGACACATGCAAAAGAATGAAACCGGACCACTTTTTTACACCATACCCCAAAACAAACTCGAAATGCTTTAAAGACCTAAATGTGAGACCTGAAATCCTAAGAATCCTTGAGGAGGGCACAGGCAATAATCCCTCTGACATGGGCCATAGCAACCTTTTTCTAGATCTGTCTCCTGATGCAAAGGAAATAAAAGCAAAAATGAGCTATTGAGACTACATCAGAATAAGAGGCTTCTGCACAGTGAAGGACACAATCAACACAACTAAAAAGTCAACCTACTGAATGGGAGAAGATATTTGCAAATGACAGATCCGCCAAGGGGCCCGTATCCAAAATATATACAGAACTGGTACAGCTAAACACCCGAGATACAAATAATGCAATTAAATCATGGGCAGAAGACATGAACAGAGATGTCTCCAAAGAAGACATCCAGATGGCCAACACACCCATGAAAAGATACTCAAGATCACTCGTCACCCGGAAACTGCAGATCAAAACTACAATGGCGGGCGCCTGGGTGGCTTATTCAGCTGAGGTCTCACTTCGGCTCAGGTCATGATCTCACGGTTCATGGGTTTGAGCCCCGCGTCAGGCTCTGTGCTGACAGCCTAGAGCCTGGAGCCTACCTCGGATTCTGTGTCTCCCTTTCTCTCTGCACCCCCCGCCCCCGCTCCTGCTTAATACTCTGGCTGTGTCTCTCGAAAATGAAAACATGTTAAAAAAAAAAAACTACAATGAGATACCACCTCATACCTGTCAGAATGGCTAAAATAAAAAACACAAGAAACAACCAATGTTGGTGAAGATGTGGACAAAGAGGAACCCTTTGCACTGTTGGTGGGAATGCAAACTGGTGCAGCCACGGTGGAAAACAGTGTGGAGGTTACTCAAAAAATTAAGAATAGATTTACCCTAGGATGCAGTCATTGTGCTACTGGGTATTTATCACTGTTCCCCCTCCCAAAAAAAAACACGAATTCAAAGGGATCATGAACCCCTATGTCTATAGCAGCATTATCAACTACATAGGAAGTACAGAGAGAGCCCAAATGTCCATCGACTGCTGAATGGATGAAGTAGAGGTGGTGTATGTATATATCCAGTGGAATATTAGTCAGCTGTCAAAAGAATGATGTCTTGTTGTTTGCAACGACATGGATGGAGCTAGAGTGTATTATGCTAAGCCAAATAAGTCAAGCAAAGAAAGACAAATACCATATGATTTCACTCATATGTGGAATTTAAGAAACAGAACAAATGAACAAAGAAAAAAAGAGGCAACCTAAAAACCATACTCTGAATTATAGAGAACAAATGGTGGTCACCGGTAGGGGGGGTAGGTGGAGGGATGGGGATTAAAGAGTACACTTATCATGGTGAAAAAAAATGATAAAAAAGGATGAAAAGAAATTTACAATGAAAAGTCAAATCAAGGTTTGGTATGATGCACAGAATCTCATCTTTTCTTTGTGAACTGTTAAGTTTCAGAGTGCCCCAAACTATTCTTTTATAATACAATAACTGTTATTTTACTTCAAGATAAATGATAATGGTTAATGTAGTTAACATAAGGCTGTAAAGAATAGAACTCGGTGTTGTTGTTGTTTTTTAAGATTGTATTTTTAAGTAATCTCTACACCCAGCATGGGGCTGAAACTCACAACCCTGAGATCAAGAGTCACATTCCCTTTCAACCGAGCCAGCCAGGCACCCCTAGACCTTGAGTGTTCGTAACGCTTTGAAATTAATTTTGAAAAGATGGAATGCATCCTTTTGGTTAACTTGACTGCCACACCGAGCACACCTTTCTGTATTGCTCCCTTAAAATGTTCAATTTTTGGGTGCTGATTAGGAGCTGTCTGTGTTCAACGCCTGTATTGTTAATTTTCAAGTGCTATTTGCATATTGTTATGGTGCTCTTCCTACCTTGGATCCATGACCTGTCCTCTCTCTGTTTATTAAATCTACCAATTGACAGAATGAACACCAGGTAAATCAGAGAGGTGCCTTTGTTCCCTGTGATTCTTGCACAAAGCAACTAAAGCTGCTGCCACAAGCATCCAGAATAAAACCCGACTCTGTACAGGACTAAAACTTAAGGGGCAAGCATAACCCTCCCCCCAGGGTGGCCATCTATATTTTCCAGTGTGCAAGTCCCTAAACACACTATTTAATAGGCAATTTAATATTTTGGCAAAAAAATGAATATTACAGAAGGAATGAGTCTTGTCAATTTTCCTAAGCCATACTTCCTACTCACAAAATTTAAGTTTTCAAATGAAATAACTAAAATTAACTTTTGGGGCGCCTGGGTGGCTCTGTCGGTTAAGCGTCCAACTTTGGCTCGGGCGTGATCTCCTGGTTCGTGAGTTCAAACCCCACATCTGCTGTCAGCGCAGAGCCTGCTTCAGATCCTCTGTCTCCCTCTCCGTGTCCCTCCTCTACGTGCTCTCTCTCCAAAAAAAATAAAAAATAAAAAATTAAAAAAAAATTAACTTTTCCCGCCTTACCTTTTGGTAATCTTATTTATGTCAGAAAAAAAGTAAGATTTGAATCGTCCCTTAACCTTTTTATTGACCTGCTGTGAACCAGCAGGCTGAAGCTCAGTGCAATCATTCATTTATTCAACAAACATTTATGGAGTGCTCCTCTAATGCCAGATACCATGCTTAATGCTGCAGATCCCCAAATAGGCAAGATAAAAATTCCTGTATCCCTGGAACTTCTATTCAAGTAGGGAATACGAGTAATTACAAGATAGTGTGGAGTGGGCTATATGAAGACTAAACACAGTGCTTGGGGAGAGAAAGATCATTCTAACAATGATTGGAAAGAAGGGATTAGAAGGGAACTCAGTCAGTTGGTGGAGAGACCACTTAGGAAGAACGGAGAAGATGGTTACCAAAATTGAGGTACCGAGGGTAGAGATAAATGCATGAATTTGTAGAAATGTCATAAAGGTCAGGGCGCCTGGGTGGTTCAGTCGGTTAAGCGTCCGACTTCAGCTCGGGTCATGATCTCATGGTTTGTGAGTTCGAGTCCCGCATTGGGCCCTGTGCTAACAGCTCGGAGCCTGGAGCCTGCTTCAGATTCTGTGTCTCCCTCTCTCTGTTCCTCCCCTGCTTGCACTCTGTCTCTCTCTCTCTCTCAAAAATAAATAAAGATTAAAAAAAAATTAAAAAAATAAATGTACAAAATGAAATGCGTAGGATTGTAAAGGCAGTGAATTATACCGAAATAGTTATCTAATACAAAACTTGTGTTGTAGTAATACATGCATTTATTGACTCATTAAAGAGATTTAGCGGGGATCTAATAACTACTGTAAACTGAAATGATGATAAGCATAAACAGTATTTTGAGATATTTCCAACAAGTATAATACATTAAGCTATATATGATTTCTAATAATGGCAAAGTCACACTGGTTATACTACTGTGGTTTGTTGCCTACATTCATAATTGGGAGAAATGCTAAATTTTCATTAGAGATTGGTGACAATAAAAATCTGTTTTTACCCGTTCAAGTTTACAGATTGTCTGGATTTGATTCATGTACCCAAGTCAGAAACCCAGTCCAGAAGCTAACCGAAGCCCATAGGAATGGATATGATCAACCCAAGGAGAGAGGGCACAGAGAGAAAAGTGCCCAGTACCAAACCCTGAGGAACCTCAACATTTAGAAATTGAATAAAGGAGGCTGATGTAGCGAAGAAAGTCAAGAAATGCTGTATGATTTTACTCATATGTGGAATTTAAGAAACAAAGGAGCAAAAAGGGGAAAAAAAGGGAACGAGAGGGGCAAACCAAGAAACAGACTCTTAATTACAAAGAACAAACTGATGGTTGCCAGAGGGAGGGGGTGGAGGATGGGTTAAATAGGTGATGGCGTCAGCTGAGGAATGGATAAAGAAGATGTGGTTTATACATACAATGGAATACTACTTGGCAATGGAAAAGAATGAAAGCTGGCCATTTGCAGCAACGTGGATGGAACTGGAGGGTATTACGCTAAGTGAAATAAGTCAGGCAGAGAAAGACAGATACC